TTGTTTAACTGATTTTATAATATTTTTTTTTTTTGGAAATTTTCGAAATTATTGTTTTTTAATTTTGAGAAAATACTAAAATATTCTTTTGGGGGATTTCTTGGTTTATCAAAAGCTTAAAGAAACCTTTTTCTTTTAAAAAACGTCTCTGAATTAAATAAAACTAGTAAAAATATTAAAATTTAATTTATAAATAATTATGATAAATAAAAAATTAAAAAAAATCTCTAAAAATTTTCTAGGTAAAGAAAAACCTCTATAAGTAAGGGGTTGATTATTTTTTTATTTAAAAGAAACACAAATAAACGGCCCGTTAATTGAGGTTCCATTCTTAAAATTAGATGGAAGTAAAATATAACAATAATCAACAATGTACATAGCATTAAATAAGCTGGAAGGGAAAATTGATTCCTATTGAATAATGGAGCTATTGTAAATGTAATACAAGAACGTAACTTCCTATTGAATAAGCATATCTGTACGAGAACATAGAAAGAAAAAAAAAAGGGCTTTATTATCTGTCTCCCATATGCATGATGGGTTCAATTAATTAGTAAAGTTATCTAGTGGAAATGTTGGATATACAAATGAAATAAATGCAAAAAAAACTCAGAGGATTGGTATTTAGTATGAAATATCAAAATCTCATGAGTTATTTTCCCTGCCCTAGAGTGAGGGTTTTCTATTTTTGTTTTGTATGGTATTCTTTGAGGGGTATTTGCTATTAAATGTCAAAATCACAATGGTTAAGAAAATACACACCAAAATACAATTAATCAAAATATGCGTGTTTATAAGAAAATTCAACATTCCTCCAACAAGTTTCCACTCTAACTTGCAATCATTGAGCATGTTGAGTGTTTCCAAATCTTGAGCAGCAAGCTGAAGCAGAATTGGGTGAAGTTGGCTGTTGAGGACTTCACGGAGTACACAGTACACAGTACACAGCAGGAAATACATTATGTATTCAAACTGTTGCTGTTGGAACTTTACCACCCGCCCTACTCAAACATGTTGCTCATCATTTTAAGCCTTAAATGAACGTCAATTTAATTTTGAAGCTTAATCGTGATTCCATACATGTATCACATTGTTTTAGAAACCCTAAGAACAAAGTTGTTTGGCTGGTTTTGGTGGCTGGATTCTTCTACAATTTTTTCATTTTTTTTTATTAGTACATGAGTTTGTAAGATGGGTCTACCAAGTCTGAAAAAAAAGTTATTGTAAACAACCGTAACTCATAATCTTATAATTTTATGATCATAACATACGGTGCTTAAAATTAAGCAACTCAACATGCCACGTAGATTCTCTCTAATGGAAAAAAAAATTACGAACCGGTTGCTTAAGTTTAAGGTACTCTTAGGATACAACCAATATGGATGCTCTAAGGTAATAAACATAAAAGTACATTGAAAGAAGGTAATGAGAACCCTAACATGCTCCAATCCCATTCGAAATTCAGAGCACAGGCACTGGTGAGAGTGGAATTAGATGAAGTGCTCAAACTAAAGCAGAGAGAAGGACAGGAGACATTTCATCAAACACATTGCAAACAACTTAACTTCACGGAACCAACCACGACATTTTTCACCGTGAACGGGTCCCTCGACAATTTACAAAACCATGTGAAAAATGAAACGAACATCACACGCAATATGATGCTACTTGAATCACTGAAGCATGTTAAAAAATAAAATAAAGTGAGTTACCAGCGGCAGAACACGGAGGCGAGCCAACGCTGATGACGGCTTCAGTTCGTTACTGCCCCAAAGTTTCTTCAGAATATGAATCCCAACTTTTTCATGTTCATGTTTTCGTCTCCGTCTATGCTTCCGTGGACGCTTCTCATGACCTCATCAACCTTTAACGGGCCTTCACTTTCAGATAATGGGCCTCTCTGGGCTTTCGCTTTCAGATTTGGGCAACACCAATTCTCTCTGGTTGATGATATATACACTTCCATTTTTTTATACGTACACTCCCTTTTTTTAAAAAAAAATATTAAATTTCTAAATTATTCTTAATATTATTTAGAATATAAAAAAATATTTTGAAAAGTGTTTTTCAAAGGTTGATGATATATACACTTCCTTTTTTCTATAAGTACACCTCTTTTTCAAAAAAAAATAATTAAAATTTTAAAATATTCTTAATCTTTTGCTTTTTTTATTTATTTTATATTCACAACATTTAATTTAGTACTTTTTTTACGAATCTTTCTTTTTTCTTCTTTTTTTCTTTTTTCAATTTTTACATGCACCCCGTTATCTTTCCTTCACCCCATCTATTTTGGTAGCATGTAAAAATTGAAAGAGAAAAAAAAAAGTGTGAAAAAAAAGAAAAAAGTAAAAAATTGAAAGTTAAATGTATAAAATTAAAAAATATATGTATATATAATTTTTTATAATTTAAAAAAAAAAATAAAGAAGGTGTACTTATAAAAAAAACAGGAGGTGTATATATCATGAGCCTTCCGAAAAGAACTTTCCATTAGAATAATTACGGAAAGTACTTTCCAGAATACTAAAATTACTATTCCGGAAATAATTTTCCGTCAAAATAATTATGGAAAATACTTTTCGTAACACTAGAATTACTATTGCGAAAAATTCTTTCCAGAATATTAACAGTGCGTGTATTTGTTACCATAATTCCGGAAAGAACTTTCCGTAATAGTAATTTTAGTGTTATGAAAAGTACTTTTCAGAATTATTCCGACGGAAAGTTATTTCTGGAATAGTAATTTTAGTATTCCGGAAAGAACTTTTCATAATTATGTACAAATACACCTCTGGAAAAAAAATTTCAGGATAATTTTTTTTTATTTCAAATAATATTAAGAATAATTTAAGAATTTAATATTTTTTATAAAAAAAAAGTGTATATATAAAAAAATAGAGGTGTATGTATAAAAAAATAGAGGTGTATATATCATCAGCCTTCTCTATTCATCTGTATTTGGAGTCTTGGGCTTTTAAGCGCCGAACAATTTTAATTATACCGTTGGTTTCTGTTTCTACTGAGGCACTTCACTTCGGTTCGGTAGCACTACTCGAAATTAGTTTCAAACTATTCCTAATAAATTATATTTTTTTTTATCCAAGTTATTTAACATTTTGTTCCAGACCATTATCCATGATCTCCACATAAGAGTCGAGATATGGAATAATCAAATCAAACATTATTAGCCTATAAGAGATTTCGATAAACACTATTTTTTTTTTTATATATAGATAAGAAAAATTACAAAGATGATTATAATGAGGATTAAATATAAGTCTTCATGTTTCTAACTACCCAACTCCTCCCCATCTAACCACTAAACTAATCCTAGTAGTCCGATAAACACTATTGTAACATATATAACACCACTTTTCCTCTTTATCTGAGATGTTAACTTCTTTATTTTGACATCATGCAACAATATAGTAGCATAATATATAGTGGAGTTTTCATCATGCACTCAAATTTTTGCACACTTCCTAAGACTCTGTTCCAATAGATAATTAATTAAGATACATTGGATAAATATTTATATATGTTATTTTTATAATTAAAAATAGTAAAAATAAGTTATTTTAATATAAGTTATAAATTCTTTCATTAGTTATCCTATATAGAATTTATTAAAATAAGTTAAAAATAACTATGAACATCTTACATAAATTAATGATATATGTTGTTTCATTAGTTATCTTATATAAATTTTAAAGTTAAATTATACTTTTGATCTTTTTATCTATTTTTAATATTTAATTTAATCTTATTATTTTTAAATAGTTTAATTTATTTTTTTAATTTTTTAAAAATATTTAATGCTATTTTTCTTTCTAAATTGACGTTAATGATGTTAATTAAACCAGACTAAAAAATAATATTGAACATCTTTTGAAGATTAAAAGATTAAATTGAATTATTTGAAAATTGTGCTACCAAATTGAACATTTTATGAATAGAAAAATTAAATTGAACAAAAATTTATCTATTTTTTTTTGTCTAGATAAGTTTAAGTTTTAGGTCACCTGTTTAATAATCTCTTTTATAAAAGAACTCTTTCATTTTGTGATCTTTATTTTTACTTCTAAGTACACAATTTGTTGTCATTCATAATATTGTTAAGGTTAGTAAAAATAAATTTTAAATTTATTTAGACAAAAAATGTTAAATAATCTTTTATTCAATTTAGTTATACTATTTTTTTAAAATGTTTAATTCAGTGTTCTAATTTAAAAAAAAAAATATTTAATGTTATCTTTTTATATAATTTCATTAATATCAATTTAGACGGGAGGGCAACATTAAATATTTTTAAAATAATTAAATTAAGTTAAATTCTAAAAGTAAATAAAAAAGACTAGAAAATAATTTAGCATTAAATTTATAAAAAATAAGTTAAAATAACTATCAACTTATAAGTCTTTCCGAAGTCTATATTCGTATCTATTTAAATATCCATTTTTTTTAATACACTTCTCCTCGCTTAACAATGGTATGAAGGTTAATAATAAAATTAAGTCATAAACAATTTATTTTTAGTATTTTAAACTTAAAATTAATTTTTTAATCTATATAATTTCAAAAAATATTATTTTAGTTCTCATATTCAAATTTTATTAAACAATTTAACGAATATTATTGCGTAAAATCTATCTATTTTAGTTTTTATTTTAGTGAAAACATCACATTAAGTCAAATTGATAATACATAATTATCTTAAGCTGTCATTCTAGATATTTTATTGGTGACCAAAGGAATTAGAATAAAATTTTTAAAAATCACATGAACTAAAATCAATAATTTTAAATTTGAAGAACCAAAAATAAATTTATCATAAATTTAAAATTTTAAAATATATTTAAACTAATAATTTATTATATCTTGTTCGATACATAACTGTGGCAACAATGAAATGACAGACAACAAATGTGAGGATCAAAGTGATATTAATACAACAATAATAATAATAATAGTGAGTATTTTTATACTTCACAAAAAGAGATTTCCCATAATTTATTAAGCAATGAAAAATATGATTTTTGTCTCATTTTTTTTAACAGTTTCATATTTTTTCTGAATCATACTCAAAACAATTATTTTGTTAATTCCAATATCACGATTTTTAACATGTTAAACAGACCCTTCGAGGCAACAATGATCAATAAACCAGCATTAGAAAATTAATATCATACACATTTTAATTTTTTTATTATGTAATAATACATAATATTTATTATTAAAAATTAATTTTATTTATATTATAAATATAATGTATATTAGTATATTATTAAAAAAATATAAATATGAATTATTGTATCACACGAAATATGTTATTAAATATTATTAAAAATTTATTAAAATAAATTATTTGAGTATATGTTAAATAAATTTATACTTATATATATTATATATATAAATACACTTTTATATGTAACTATATGTAAAAATAATTTTTTTTATAGTGATTCTCGAAATAACGTCTTAGCCATGGGGTCTTATTATGGAAGTAGCAGTCGTGTGAAACTTATATATGCTTCCGAAGTTTAAGATCCCAACCAATCATCTCATGAAGCGAAGATGAGCTTGTTGGTTTTGATTTTCAATTTCAAAATGCTTCTTTCATCCTTGTTTACTTTTCAAGTTCTGGAATGAATATGAATAACTCTCTCAAGATAGCTAATGTGTTATAACTTTTTTATATTTTTTGTACTCCAAATTTAATATTTACTTTACACCTTACACTTTTTTGCACTAGTAGAATTTTTCTTATTAATGTAACTTTTCATGCGTATTTTTCTGCAAAATTTTATTTGCAGATAATACCTTTGTGGATAATATATTTTTGCGAATTTTAAAATTCGCAGGAAAGTTTTCTGCGAAAAAAAAAATTCGCAGGAAATTTTCCTGCAAAAAAAATTTGTAAGAAATTTTCCTACAAAAAAAATTCGCAGGAAAATTCGCAAGAAACTTTCCTGGAAATTTTTTCGCAAGAAATTTTGCAGGAATATTTTTTACGAAAAAAATTAAAAATAATTACTATAAATTCTATATTTTAAGAATTCATAATCTTTTATTTTCATGCCTCATACATAATCTTTTAAATTCTAAGATTGTAGATTATAAGTCTAACACTCAACCATACAATTCAACTTGTAAGGTAAGTGTTACTCCAACTTATATACTCTTTAACTGTTTTATTTTCAATCGATGTGGGACGTGAAAATTTTTTAAAATATTAAACTTATGAATTTAAATATATATTTTTTATTTTTCCTGCGAATTAAAATTTGCAGGAAAATCTGCTGGAAAAGTTACCTGCAAACTTTTTCTACCATTTAGTAAACATTACTTGCGAATTTATTTTTGCAAGAAAATCTACAAGAAACAAAATAAAATTCTTACAATATTTTCTGCAAAATTTTACCATGGAAATTTTTTTCCATGATTATTAAAATTGTAACAAAATTTAGAAGAAATATCTGTAAATTATTTTTTTGCAGGAAAATTCGCAAAAAATTTCTACAAATATTTATTTGCAGGAAAATTCACAAGAACTTTCTACGACTATTTTTTTCAAGAAAATTTGTAAAAAAAAATAACACTTTTCTAGTAATGTTTTATCATCACATTACTCATCGTATATATATTTTTTTCCTTTTTATCTCTTTCTTAAAAGTCAAGGTGTACAAAACCAAGACTGTGAAATTAATGATTAATTTTTCCTGTCTAATTATTCTAAAAATTAATGGTCAAAATAATAATATATAAGTTCATCACTGTCACAAAATAGGATTGAAATGAAAAGAAACGAAAAGTGCAGAATGCAACACATTCATATTTGTGCTTCTAGTTTGTAGCATAATATAAATCTTATAATTTACTAAAAAAATTCGTTAATTATTGAAAATATAATGTCATGCTATTCCTTTGCTGATTAGCTAGATATAATAAAAATGGCTCCTTATTTCTCATTAGCGATGGATTTGCGTATAACGCATTCTCTCACTAACATTTTTATTTAGAAAATAGGGATAAATTGAAGGAAATGCGGAAGAATAGATAAAAATTAATTTGATAAGAAACAATGTAAGAATTGAAGTGGAATAGAGTGAAATAAAATAAAATTTATAATTATTTAATAGAGTAAAATTAGATTAAAAAAAATAAAGAAAAATTAGTATTTATGTAAATGTGTTAAGCTTGTGAAAAATGCACGTATTTTAATTATGAGAAAATGTACACAACATACATAAATGCTTAAAACTTTTTGAGATACCTTTTTGTAGCTTACTTAATACAAACGAAAACACAAGGTCAATTTTGTATATGTGAATGAACCAAAGTATAAATCCATGCTAATTCCCCCCTTCCAAGAGGGTAATTGGTTTCATCCAGAGACTCACAAGTATTTCTCTCAAATATGTTTGAAATCATCTTTACCAAACAAAGCAACTTTTATTAAATCCTAAAAAAAACCTTCACATCCATACAAATCCAAAACAAATCTTGCTCCCCAAACACAACATAAATTATGAAAAATTTGTGAACAACTTTTTTTCCTATGCTACACTTAAATTACGTGTTCCAATAATATCTTAAAACACAAGTGTTGGCAAATTTTTCTTTGCGGTGGAAAGCCAGGCAAGTAATCTTTAGCTTGAAAAAATTATATATATATATATATATATATAAAAGAATTCAATTATTCTAAAAATAAGTCTTTTAATTTATTAAAAACTTTTAATTTAATGATTATCATTGAAATTTGATGTAAAACATAAATTATTTAGTGAAATAAGTTTACTAAGACTTATTCTTAAACTAAGAGAATCTCTCCTCATGTGTCTATATATATATATATATGTGTGTGTGTATGTGTGTGTATGTATGAAAGATTCATTTATTTTAAAAGTAAGTTTATTTATACTTATTAATACTCATAACTCATGTTATACATCAAATTGTAACGTTCCAATCGTTAAATTTGTAAACTTTTTTAAAAAAATTGAAAACTATTTGACTCTATTTTTTTTTAATTCAAATTGACAAATAATTTTAAAAATATTTTATATGATGATTTAAATTAATGAAATAAAATATCAAATATTTTTTTATTTTTTATTTTTAAATTTGCAGACTTGATTTATTCATTAAGAACTTTTAATTTAAAGATTAGATCATTGTACACACACATATATACATATATATATATATATATATATAAGAAGAAAGATCCATTTATTCCAAGAATAAGTCTACTTAGACTTAGACTTACTCTACCCAATAATTTATATTTTATATCAAATTTCAATGATTTAATAATTGAATTAAAAAAATTTAATATATAGATCAAGTTAATAAATTTTAAAAAAATTTAAAAATTAATTGATGTTTTATTTCATTAATTCAAATTGATAGATAATGATAAAAATATTGTATATGTTGATTTGAATTAATAAATAAAATATCAAATAATTTTTAAATTCTATAAAACTTAATAAACTTAATATATGTATTAAAAAAATTAATTTAATTATTGAATATTTGAAATTTGATATATAATATAAATTATTGGGTAAAAAAAGTTATTTAATAGTGTTTAAATAAGTGAATCTATCAACTTAATATATAGAGAGAAAGACAGATTGCTAATGTAATAGACACCTATTTTTGTTATGCAAAATATATTAATAGCTTACACTAAAATTTTGTAAAAAAAATTACTTTTTACGATTAATTAAGTTATTATATTATAGTAATTTAAACAGGTTATAAAAAATTGCAGCTTTAGTAAAAACGGAAGCATGAGATAGGAGAAAAGAGAAAACTGATTTAAAGATGGAAGTTGAAAGGAGTGCGAAAACCCTAAAATGTGACATTTATATTCACAAACAGCAACTTAAGAAACACTCGATCAAAGAAAATTATAACATTTATAAGATTTCCACCACACGACATATTACATCAACTGCAGCATGAGTGACCGATGTAAATTTTTGCCCTAGTGATTAGGCCTACGCAGTACAAACCTATTAAACTCATTTTACATCTCAAGAATATTGACATCATATTCAAAGGGAAGCATATTTAAAGATAAGAAAAATAAGGTAGTGCGGAAACAACAATTGATACTTTAGCCAATTTTATTTTTTCATATATAACTCCGTAAATATCATGTCTCACTAGAGGATCCACATAAGGAACGTCTAAAAGGTAGCAGTATACACCTGCGTACTATTTATATTTAGTATAGCAATCAAGGATTTCTTAGAATGCTTATATGAGCTCTACACTCATATGAAATACATAATAATTTTAAGGTTTGAGGTGACAGCACGAGCTCATGAATGTGACATGAACACATTGTATTCAAAGGATAATTTTCTAGAGCATGTGGTGGGAGAGATCCATGGGAAAGGGATTGTTTAGAACATTATCCATGTAATAGTGTGGGTGGCTTGGATCCATCACCACAAACTGCATGTCCTCTGAAGGCTTCCAGTGCCGTTTCCTTTGATTAATAAACCAGTTGTTTATTTGCTTCTGATCCAGACCTGTCGACTCTGCTAGTGCCAGCTTCTGTGATTCCTGCACACATTATTTAATAAAATTACCATCTAAATTATGAAAATTATTCTAAATATTACTGCTCATTTTCTCTTGGGAAGCTAAGAACCATCAAGTATTTATCATCTATCATGAAGTATGATATGATAAATTTACTAATTTTTACAAAAACCATCTTAGAAGTCATATTAAGAGGATTTCTAGTTAATCACAATGTAAAAGTTTTTACACTGAAAGTCCGTAGACTACTATTAAACTCAAATTTACTTGCCTATATATCAAAACATTAGGAAAGGATAGAGTAAAAGATAGAACTTACGGATGGGTAAGGCCATTTGTAATGTCTGCTCCACCATTCAAGTAATTGTTGCCTTGCTTCTTTAGGTAGCTTTCCCTTTTTCCTCTTCTTCATGAATTCTTGCTTCAGACTGCCCAAGTATCCGCTGTACTTGCGCAAAAGCTGACCCTTCAATTCCCTGTCCTCTGCCTGGGGATCTATGTTGTGTAGATCAACATCCTCTTCAGATGATCCATTCCTATCACCACCCTCGTTACAAGCTGATCATCATATCAATCAAGTCAATTATGAAAATACTAGATACTTAAGCCTAATTCAATGTAACTAGATTTATCAATAATGTCATGGCAAATATAATTATGCATACAACTCTAAAATTTCCTTTCTCAAACAGGCGACTCTAATAGTTGATCAGAAAGAATTTGAATAATTGCTAAATAGCAATCTAGTCAACTCTTAAACCAATAAAAAAGAGCAAGAAAAAAAAAACAAAAAGCTCAAGCTCACAAGTGAGATGGATGATGACAAATGGTATTTCCCTCCATTTTTCTCTAAGAATTTTTACGAACTGTAGCAGCCAATAATTTTCAAATTTACCTACCACTATGATATCAACTAGTTGAAAGTTGAAACTAGCAAATACGTATAGTTTGATTACATATCCACATAGATGCATAGGTGGATGCCATTTTTTTTGAAAACACCTGGAACCAATATGGTCCGTTCTGAAACCAGAACGGGCCGTTCTGGTTTCAGAACGGGCCGTTCTGAAAC